TTCAGCTTTACTCTATCCTGCCTGCTCAGTACCTTTCAAGTACTGACGCATACGTGCGCTACATCTTTTCGTGATGTAGGTTCAGGTTCTCAGTATCTAGATCACGCTTAGATCGGTTCTCGATCTTCAGTTCAGCAACATCAGTGGTGAGTCCTCATTCTTCGAGGACTAGTGACATGTTTATCTTTATTGCTTTTAGTCTTTAGTTTCAGTTTTGCTAGATCTAGTTGGGGCATGTCCCAACATTTCTAGTCAGTTTAGAGGCTTATTTCAGACATAGTTAGATTCAGCTTAGTGTTTTGAGTTTGATATTTCTTTTGTATTAAACTCTCAGATTTGATATATTCAGTTATAGTATATGGGTATTCCCCATCTTTTCAGATTTATTTATGAATTAGCTTCCGCATATGTTTATTATCTTTAGTATGCTCATGATCATGCCAGCAGGGTTAGCTTGGGATCACTTGTGGTCCTAGGTCCCGTGTCCGCGTCTTGGGGGTAGCTCGGGGCGTGACATGTGGTACCCAAGCCAACCATTAGTACGTACTAGAAATGGTGCCTAAGCCAACCATGGGAATATCATATATCAGGCGTAGTACCAGAGTCAAACATTAGTCACACAAACACAATCGCAATCTCAATGAAATACAACCACACTTGTAAATACAAGTAAACAAAAGCACCTTATTCATTGCATGAGATTGTAAACAATTTATCACCTTAAATACAACCCTTATGTTTTCCCAAAATGTATTGTTCAGGTTTCACAATAGAGACAGTTAACATAGATACATACATAAACTTTAAAAAAAACCATAACCTATCAGAAGGATTCCTTCTTGAATGTTCCATGTTCATAAGCCATTTTACCCACAATCGTGTTCCCTAGCATAGCACCTAGAAATTGTCTCAAAGTAAACATTACCTAACCGAGTCTATCATTAGTGTAACCCACGACTATCCATTTATTCAACAATCTAGACTCCATGCCGGAATTCCCATGCATGAAATCTCCTGACTATCTACAAGATATTATATAAGTAAAGACAAGTCTGACTACTTAGTTAAAAGAAAACCTAGTCTACTTGAATGCCAAGCAACTACTGAAGAACTCTGAACACGAGCCTCTAGTGGCACCAGCATAGCAGGAATATTCCCACAATTGTTAGATGACTCCAGTTCGGATCAATTTCAAAGTCCCTAATTTTTCTTCACGTCACCTCAATATTAAATTGGCCAAATATCTCAAAAAAATTAAATTAACTCCGTATGAGGTGTCTTTTGAGTAATGATGAATACGATTTTTACAACATGCTCGCTTTAGTGATCTCATGCATGTGGGTAGCATTGGCTTCCATGGAGATGGAGGAGACTATTCACATCAGCTCTTGCAAGGCTTTATCCACACCAGTGACCTCGGGTCTGTAGGGGCGACAATCACGAGTGGTTTTATATCTCATATTCCTTCAAATGTTTCCATTGTTATTGAGCACATGTAGGAGTCTTTAAACTCATTTCATGATCTTTTCATGGGATTCAAAGGTACTTCTCTTTCCCTTTGATTTATATTGTTTATTCTAGCTTCATTTCAGTGTTTTATTCTCTAATTGAACCTCAATTCTTTAAAAGTTAGCTTTTCATACCATTTGAGGTTCAAAATGACCCTCATCTACACCCAACTTTGGGCATGTGATGCTCACCTCAAATGAAGTATAATGACGGAGTTAATTTTCTATTTCATTGTCAAGTTCCGAGGGTCAATTTTTCACCTCATTTTTGTTATGAATTTTGCGACATTAATATGAGTATTAGTAGTCCTGTATTGACGTATAGTTTTTTTATATCATGAAGGTGATCTGCAGCTCTTCAAAAAGGTAAAGGTCTCGAGTAGCAATTCTAGTATGGTTTCGACTTCGAGGTAGGTTACAACTTGTTTATTTAGACTTAGCTTAGTTAGACACTATATATATTGGGTTGCATATGATCATTAGAAAGGTTGTAGGGTTAACTCTTAGTCTTACATGATCCTTAATTAGTTATACTTTGTCCATTTTTCGGACATTAGACTAGTAGCTTAGCCTTAAACCTTTGTCTAGGTTGATCATAGCCTACACTTGATTAGTATAGAATGCTTAGATTGCTTTAGGGGATTTAAACTTAGTTTTAGAAGAGTTGGTTTCTTGTTTAGTATGGTTTTGTGTTTATCTAGATAATTGTGCCTATTTCTATAAAATTGTGATTATGGGCCTGAGGCCTTGGACCGGATGAAGTTTCTAGTTAATATGATTGTATTGTGAAAGGTTTACCTTATTAGTATGCGTGATATGCATGTATTATAACTTGTTTGACTGTGATTGGCATGCATCAATGTACATGACATCTGCATTTGACCATGGAATGAGGTAGCAATGAGAAAATGTGGATTTTCAGTTTAAAACCTTTATACCTCAATTTCTATTTGACTTGGGCTCAGACCTCAGAGAGAGCGTATTTGTGGGTTTTTTTGCATGGAAAAAGTGGGGTTTTTTTGAACAATATCTTACCATCTTTGTTATATGCAGTGTACCATTTTATATATATTCTTCTTTCTTGGCCACTTTCTGGCCCTTATTATATATTTTGTACTATTTTGTGTATATCTATGCTATGGTCCCTTTCTTAACTTATTATTTCTTCCACGTTTGTTATATTCTAATTTTATTTTTCACGAGTTGATTGTTCTTTGACTTGCCTACCAGGGGTATATGGTAAATGTCATCATGATTCAATTTCGAGTTGTGATAGATGGTGGTGTAGAAATAAATAAATCAAGCAAAAGATATAACATCGTGCACTTCTTATTCCGTAAGTGAGAAATGTAATTCTCTGGTCCGGAAGAAGAAAGGGTAGAAATTGCAACTACCCCTCATATAAAGTTGGTAGATTTTGAGATTTTGATATTTTGATATTTTTGATACTTTTGAAAGTCAAACAATGCTCTCTTATTCCTATTCCTTTTAATAAAAAAATTCATTGGCAAAAGCTTATGTCAAAATAATAATTATAGTCCTTACAAAGGATTCTATCATACATCTTCAAGAGTGAGTAATTTATATGAGTCTTAGCCTCCATAATATTGAAGCTCACCAAGTGATGATCCATCAGTTTTGGGAAACTCACATTTTGTGATCATTAAATAATTTTTTTCAACAAAGTCCAACTGAGGAATTTAATGTCTTCCATGTAAAATCCTCTATCACACACAATAGGCACGATGCAATAAGTATTAGGGAAAGAAAATTAAACAAATAGATATGATACTTTAAATAGGCTAACCAAGAAAGTTAAGTAATTTAAATCCACACTTGCTTTATCTCGTTATCAATAAAGATCCTCTTTGTTTCCTTACAAAATAGATTGGCAGTTGGAAAATAAATTTACACATGTGGCATTTATTGATTCACTAAGTCCTAGAGTATGTATAACATTGTTGTTAAAAACTATTTATTTTTAAAAGTACTTTTTTAAAAATAGTTTTTCAGAAAGTGTTCTTGAAAAAATAATAATTTTTGCTTGGCTAATTCATTTGAAAATTATTTTTCTTAAGCAAATTGTATTGGACTAATCTTTTTTTAAAAGTGCCTTTGAGAGTCAAATTACGAAAAATGGAAAGTATCAATGTACTTCTAATATTAAGATTATTTTATAGAGAGAAACAATTTTAAATATCTATTATAAAAGTTTTAATTAAATTTTTATTTTTATTAAATTAAATGTACATATTAAAATATTCAATCAATAATATACCTTTGTTTGGGAGGGATGAAATCTTTAATTGTTACAATAATTTTTTCTTTTTTTTTTAACTTGCAAAAAGATTGTTGTTATCTTTTTTTCTAATTCTGAAAAAAAATACGTAGAATAATATAATATAAAATAAAAAATCTATTATATAAACATAAAAAATAAAATTTTAAATGAAAATTAACAAAACTTATGATATACGGTAATTAATTAATAAGAGATATATTGATAAATATGCATCTACAGAAAGGATATTTTAGTCTTAAAAATAATAATTTTCTGCTCCTGCTTTTTTAAGAAGTAGAAAGTTTTAGCTTCTTTCCAACAACAGAAAAATTGCTTCTGCTTGAGTTTAAAAACAATTTTACTAATTTGTCAAACGCTTAATCTTTCAAAGAAAAACAATCTCAAAATACGTGTTTTTGGCCTTCCAGCAATGCTAAACAAACTCTTCAGATTCCTTACAATCAGCACAAAAATTTCTCCTACTAGGTTATTTTAGGTTTGTACAATTTTAGCATAAACTGATCTTTTTCTTTGGTGTTCATTATTTTTTTATGTAATTCTTGAAAAAACTAGTTTACTTTTGTAAAATATTGTAAACAAATCATTAATTAGGTTTGCACAAGATATAGTGCATAAAATACTACTCCCTAAGCATTATATTTTATATAGTGCATAAAAGTTATTTGTTTTCTATTAAAAAAATTTGATGAAGGCATACAGATTGATAATAAAGTCTTGTTATATCACATACATGAAAATATAATAAGAACATTCAATAGTTAGCATGTGATATTTTAGTATCCTTATTTAAATATTGTATTTGTACAATAGTTGGTTATTTTTATTTCATGTACTTTTAGTCAATTTTATAAGAATGCATTCTTTTTATTAGGAATATATACGTACTTTTTATAGTAAAAAAGTTTGGTTTTTTAGTAAATACCAATATATTTAAAGGTGATAAAATATGTCTTCTACAATTTGGGATAAACTTGCGACGTTTCTAAAATTGGTTCACAAAAATTGAATCAACAAATCTTCAATCCTCACTAATTAATAACATGTGATATAAATATGTGGTGGACAATGTTTCAACAAGCTAGCTTTTTACAACTAACTAAAGTCTGTCTATATAAAGACTGCAAGGTTTCAACATTTTCTCACCACCTTCTTTTCACAACTTATAATTGCTATATTGAGAAAAATAAAAGATGGGTTTGAAAGGAAAATTGATTGCTTCTGTTGAGGTGAAGTGTGGAGGCCATCTGATGTATGATCTTTTACACACTAATTCTCATCACATAGCTAATATAAGTCAACATGTTAACCGTTTTCAAATTCATGAAGGTGAAAACGTAAAAGTTGGTTCGATTGTTAGCTGGAGTTATAATGAGGGTAACACACACTTTTCTACTTCTTCTATCATTCAATGCGATTTACATACATCAATTTTCTTTATTTAGTGTATACTGTAATATGAAACGTGCTTTTCAAGAAAATGATCTTCTTGAAAGAGTTATTTGATGGTGTTTGATTATTATAAATACATTCTAAGTAAACCCTCTTGCTTCAAGAAACAAAATAACCTTTTCCACCTGTGGGAGAAAGTACTTTCTTCATTAAAACTACCTTTAATTACTTTAATTTTTTCTTATTTTCTCCAACTAATGCTTAGACATAACTTACTAATATTTAATTACTCAAGAGATTCAAGATTTATTAATCTTCAATAGATTATGATTTAGGTATATTATCTTTCCACCAATCAATATACTAAAATATTACTAATGTCATGTTTAACGTAATAAAATCAGCTCTTCTTTTGAGACTTTAAAAAAATAACTCTATTTAGAAAATAGACAATCAAATATTTATGAGCATTATAAACTTTTGGAGTAAATGAAAATGAAAATGAAAATCGAGGAAAAAAGTTAAACATTATATGATAATAAAGATTATATTTTGTAAATATTGAAATCTTTAATGAGGAATTGAACAATTAAATTTAAAATAACATATCTTGTATTCTTTTTATGTTGATAATTACAGCTGGACAAAAGAAGTTTATAAAGCAAGTTATTGAAGCCATCGATCCGTACAAAAAATCAATTTGTTGGAAAGTCATTGAAGGAGACGTGCTAGAGATGTATAGTTCATTTACTATTATAACATCTCATGAACCTCAGTGGGCTATATGGACACTTGATTATGAAAAGAAAACTGAAGACATTCCAGAGCCGCTCAGTTATTTGGGTCATATCCTTGACGTAATCAAGGATATGGAGGGTCACCTTCTCAACAATTAGAAGATCTATGTTGTTATATATATATATATATATATATATATATATATATATATATATATATATATATATATATTGCATAAACATATCTATATGTATTGGTGTTTGTATGAAGAATAATTTGCAATATTGGCTACATTAGCTAGCATGTGAAATAAATAATGTAATATTTGAAGAATATATTTTTTCTGTCAATGTGTATATATATATATATATATATATATGTATGCGTGTATCTATATGCATAAATATATCTATGTGTATTAGTGTTTGTATGAAGAATAATTTGCAATATGGGCTACATTAACTAGCATGTGAAATAAATAATGTAATATTTGAAAAATATATTTTTTGTCAATCTCCTTTTATGGAACTCTGCAATATTCAATATTTTAACTAGTACAATTATTTATCACAATTGAGGTTGATGGAGCGTGATCACAATAAAAAAGATGCTTTAAAGTCTAAATGGTTATTTATTTGATGGTGAGTATGAGAAAAAAATATTTTCAAAGTATCAAGATGAGTATATGGTGAGTATTAGCAAAATTCATATTTTCAGTCACAAATATGAATTGTTTCACATCAAGGTGATTGTTTTTAAATCAAAAAGATTATTATCCTTCGTGAAGTAAAAGTCCTAAAAGTGGACCCAAAATAGAAGGCTTGTCTCAAAATACAAAAGACGAGCCAACATAATATATATAGACACGGGTAAGTCTAGAACACAATGTGTTCACCCTCGCATCTGAACCGAAGCTGCAACAAGATTGAATATCAATGCTAGTAGCTGGTGCTCAGACCTGCATCACAAAATAGATGCAGAGTGTAGCATGAATACCAAATCAATAGGAAATCAGTATGCATCAATGATCGACTACGCAAGAGAAGTAAAAGCAATATGAAATGTGAGAAATAAACATAAACAGAGGTAAAAGCAACGTAACACTAAATGAAATGTACACGAGTGTACTAAGAACAAAAAAAAACTAAGTACAACTAACTAAGCCTAACTAGGCCACCATAATGCCAAAAGGTACATTCAGGTGCAAGTTATAGTAAAAATCTGAATGGACCCCCATAAGTCCGACTAGAACTCATAATAGATAGAACTACTAAGAACAAGTTGATGTACCGTGAGTTTGCGGTATTTTTGATGCATTATACTTGAAGTTTGTGTGAGTGTTGGCCATTTTTGTTATTATATATGATGGTGTTTGGTTTAATTTTGTAGGAAATCAGTTTGAAGCAGTTGAAGATGAATGTAGCTGAACCAGTAGAAATTTGGCAACCTACGAGCTTACTCACGAGCCGTCATCCAGTCGATGAACCGTAGGTAGGAGGCGTGGATTGTGAGTTCAAGGAAACCTGACCAAGTATGGAACCACGGAGGAAAACGACGCCCCTTAGCTTGAGTGACGGACCTTTGATCAGTGTCGTCGTTTGATTTAGAAAGTTGAGTTCCAGTACTTAAACAATAGAGGAAAAGGATGAGCCGTGAATAGAGCTACAGACCGTAGGTGATGCCCGTCGATTTGAAGACTAAGAATTTTTTCCAATTACTGAACTATGGAGGAGATCCACAGACAGTTGGCTAATCCATGGTTCGTCTTTCGCTGCCGTCTATCGAAACTGCCAAAACCAGAATTTCCTATATTTTCTTTTCCTACTTGGTTTAAGACTTAGTTTCTATAAGTATAAGGTGCATTTTTCTTTTTTGGGCTGTTAGACGTTTTGGGATACTTTGAGGGTTATTTTGCAAACTCTTTTGACAATTAATTCTCACTTGGTTTATGATCTTTGCATTTGATTTTCAATTCAAGATTACGGTATTCATCTATTAAAATTGTAAGTTCATGATTTATTTTATCAACCCTAATATGAATTGTGAATTCTCAATCATGAGTAGCTAAATCCACAACTAGGGTTGTGAGAACCATGAGTAATTAACAATGTATGACTAATAAATAAGTAATTCTAGAGTAGTGTTGATGCATGTTGTCAATCCTTTCGTTTAGAATTCTTTCTAGTGGTGCGCAATGTTAGAATTCGCCTCATTCCTACTTGCCGAACCAAAGAGGTAACGAATGAGAAAGGGATTAAACAACAAAGATTTAGACGTGTTAAGCCACTATCTAATAGCCTGACCCTAATCTTGTGAAGGCTAATCCAGGGTTAAGGGTAATAGTTAGTAAAGCATACACCCGTAGACGGACCAAGTTGCGTGGTCAAATTTCCTACTTAGAGGACCAATCACTTAGGGATACCTAACTTATCAACCTTGCATGTTAACACTAGGATATAATTACTATTATTAGGAATACTACGTTAAGAGCTTGTGGGGAACACTTATGCCCTAGTTTTCATCTCATATTGAGATCTCAAAACTGCGAATCCAATTTACTTGTTACTTATTGATATAAATCAACAAACTATTATTTTATTTACTAAACCCCCATTGTTACTTTTTTCAGAAATAATTTGACTGAACTTAGTAATCATAAGTTAGCCTAAGTCTAAATCATATTCCCTGTGTGATCTACATTAACCTAAAAGTTAGGTTCTTTAGTTGACAACGATTATACTTCTTTCGGGAGGTGTAATTTGGGTGTATCAAATTTTGGTGACGTTGCCGAGGAATACAACTTTTAGATTAGACTAATTTCATTATTGAACTTTAGTCAAGTATTTCCTGATTTTCCGTTTCATTTTGTTCTCGTTTCTACAAGTCTTACCGCAGTCTAGTGGGCAAGTTGAAGTGTCGAATAGAGATATAAAGAAAAATCTTGCGAAGATTGTGAATGCAAACAGAACAGATTGGTCAAGAAGGCTTGATTATACAAATGGACCAATCACACCGCATTAAAAACTCACATAGGTATGTCCCCTTACCAACTTGTATATGGGAAGTCTTGTCATTTGCCTGTAGAGTTAGAGAACAAAGCAATGTTGGCACTCAAGAGGCTACATTTGGATTGGGGTGCCGCATTAAGTCAAAGATTGAATGAGCTTGATGAGTTTCGCCTAAAAGCATATGAATGTTCAGCCTTGTACAAGGAGAATATGAAGAAGTACCATGATCAAAATATGAAAGTTGAACATAAAAAATCAGGAGGTATGACTCAAGATATTAGCATTCCTACTTGGAAGTGGGAAGATTCGAATTCATTATAGATTTACCTCGGACTCGTTGACGACATGATTCTATTTTGATTGTTGTAGACAGAATGACTAAGTCAACACATTTTCTTCTTGTAAAGCCTTTTATTCAACCAAAGACTATGATAGGCTCTATATTTGGGAGATGGTTAAGTTGCATGGAGTACCTTTATCTATAATTTCGAACAGACGTACCCAGTACTTCTCAATTTTGGAGATCATTTTAGAAGAACCTAGTACAAGTTAATCTTAGCACAACTTTTCTCCCTCAGACCGATGGTCAGGCTGAGCGAACTATTCAGATTCTGGAGGATATGTTCAGAGTTTGTGTGATCGAATTTAAAGTGTAATTAGAATGATCATTTTCCTTTGATTTAGTTTTCTTATAATAATAATTATCACGCGAGTACTTAGATGGCTCCATTTGAAGACTTCTAAGGTATGAGGTGTAGATATCCTATTGGTTGGTTCAAATTTGGTGAGGTTTCTTTGATAGGGCCCGATTTAGATCATGAGGTGATGGAAAAGGTTTGACTTATAAGGGATAGATTGAGAAGGGATCAGAGTTGACAGAAATCTTATGTGTATGTGAGGAGAAGGGATCCTGAATTCGATGTTGATAATTAGATTTATTTGAAAATTTCACCCATGAAGGGTGTGATGAGATTTAGTAAGAAAGGGAAGATCATTCCTTGCTATGTAGGCCCATATCAATTTTTAGGCATTTCGGTAAGATGACCTATGAGATGGATTTTTCTTCAGATTTGGCATACGTGTATTCCATATGCCATGTTTCCTTTTTGAAGAAGTGTATTAGTGATCCTAATTTAGTTGTGCTACTAGAAAGTGTTCGCATGAAGGAAAGTCTCTCTTATGAAGAAATTCCGGTTGAGATTCTAGATTGTCAAGTCCGTAAATTGAGAAACAAAGAAGTTTCTTCCGTGAAAGTTCTTTGGATGAATCAGTTAGTTGAGGATGCTACTTGGGAGGGTAAAGTTGATTGGTATCATGTCCTAGTACCCCCCCCCCCCCCATTTATTTACCTCCGCATCAGTTTGAGTGTGAGGTATTATTTCCTCCTATGTATTTTATCGGATTCAAGCGTTTAAGAAATTCTAATGTTTCCATATGCATGCATGTTCATGAAATCAGTTTTTAACTTTATGTTTTAGCTTGGAGTTGATTACTCCTCGATTTATACATCACTACTAGAAATTTGACCTATTGCCACAGATATTTGGCAACACTTGTACAACCGTCGCAACAGATTATCTATTGCAACAGTTATGACTGTTGCAATATATCATGGGATCTAATAGAACAATAATTAAAATTAACCGTAGCATCATTCCAATAACCGTCGCTACAGAGTGTCTAAGGCTACATATTTTAGAACCATTGCACTTATGGACTCTGTGGCAACGGTTATTATAGTGCAAAAAGAAAATATTTTCAGCCAACCCGCGAATTTTATTCCCAAAATAATATATTTCCCTCCACTACTTTAGATAAAGCGCTATTAATTTTATTAGGGCTAAAGTTTCTAGTCTTCTTCTCCAGAAAGGTTTCTGAAAACTCTAAGAAGTACGTAATGATAAGCTGAGGCTAATGGCAACCTTCGGTCTTCTTCGACAAGTCTTGGTCTTCTTCTTCAGAGTGTGGTAGTCTTCTTCTTCTTTTTCAACCTTCGGTCTTCTTCTTCAAAGTGTGGTGGTCTTATTCTCAACAGTAATCTTCTTCGACTGCAAGCTTTTGCATAAAAAGGTGAACTATTTTTAAGTTTCCTCTATCTACTCCATTATTTCTAAGTACCCATTTTCTCTAATTTGTCATGGATATACTAT